GCACGAGAAGTGCAAAAACGCATAATCGCACCGGCCCGCCTGGTGCGTTCCAGCCTGGGTTTGGTTGTCCAAATAACTGAACTAAGAGCAATTGAAAGCAAAAATAAGGGGCGACAGGTGAGAGGAAGAATGGGTGGGGGAGGGGGGGAGGGCGAGAGGAAAAGTAGTAACATTAAAGATCAATGAATAACCAAAAAACGAAGCTAACTTGGTGAGTTTCTTTCTTTTGAGAAGCAGGGTTGGAAAAGTTAAATAGCCAAGAAGCTAGTATATGTAGAGCAATTTTCCGAATTTTAGTTGCATTTTTTTCAAATTAAATAAGCAAAAGTAGGGAAAGAAAGATAAAAAAAATGGGGTGCAGGCTCACATGATCGACTATTTCACGACTTTCTTGAAAAAAACAAAATTATAAGACAAAAAATTGTTAAAGGCGAAACAATGCACACACTTTGACTAAAGGCTGAAGAAATAGTGGCTTTTTGTGAAGTGTAATTAAGTTCAGCAAAAATTTAAAATTTTTCTCTTTTCAGTCGTTTACCGCCTTTGCTTGCTTACAGGCTTCTCACCTGAACTCGCTGTCCGCCGCCGGATATTCGAGAAATATATCCCATGATGTATTTCGCTTCAACCGTCTTTCCGGCGCCACTTTCTCCACTTATTATGACACATTGGCTTTCGTTGTCAATCACCATATTCCTGGATTAATGAGAATATGTTATGAGAGTATCTAAGTGAAATTCATTCAGTTGGTAAACCCAGGCTGGAACGCACCAGGCTGCCGGTGGGGTCACGCGTTTTTGCACTAAACTCACAGGTAGCTAATAGCAGGAATGACCCCTGCGACGTAACCTAACATTTGGGCTCACCATGTTTTGGCCTCTTCCGACATGCAGGAGGAAGGGAGTCAGTTGGGATGAAGGTATTGCATTATAGGGCCGCATAGACATCCAGGTACATGATTACCAGTTTTTTGCATGAAGCGTTTTTCGGTAAATGCTCGTTTTTTGAAAAAAATGCAAATTTTCAGTTCACTAAGAAGTGGAAATGTTTCTCGAGCGGTTGTTCGTCAAATCAAGGCTGGAACGCATCAGACGAGCCGGTGCGATCATGCGTTTTTGCACCAGACTTGAAGTAATTAGGTGGGTGTAAAGAAACAACTACTGCATGAGTAGTTGTTTCTTTACACCTACCTTGCGCTCTCAATACCGTAAATCGTCGTAAATTTTGCATAAAAGAAAATAAACAATTTCCGTTTAGCGGTCATTTTTTGAAAATGACCCAGCCGTTCAATGAGCAATTTCCCGCCAAAAATTTAAGTGCCCGTACACGAGAATCACGCACGCCTGGGGGCTGAATTTGACAACTTTAAGTCGTATGTGGGCTGGGAATACCACCTTAAAATTTCAGCCTCCCAGCTTTGCTGGTTCCCAAGTTAGCCGTTTTCCCGTCAAAAAATTTCGCGGGGCCATACGTGGGAACCGCGCATGCCGGGGGGATGAATTTGATGAACTTGAGTCATACCTGGGCCAGGAACATTCTCTGAAAATTTCAGCTTCCTAGCTTTGCTAGTCCCCGAGTTAGTCATTTCCCCGCCGAAAAATCTCACGGGGCCGCACGCGGGAATCACGCATACCTGGAGGCTGAATTTGACAACTTTAAGTAGTAAGTGGATTGGGAACATTCCTTGAAAATTTCAGCTCCCCACCTTTACTAATTCCCAAGTTAGCCATTTTCCAGCCGAAAAGTTTCACGGGGCCGTACGTGAGAACGACGCGCCCCTGGAGGCTGAATTTGAAATCTTTGAGTTATATTTGGACGGGGAACATAACCTCAAAATTTTAGCCTCCTTTCTTTTCGCTTTCCCGAGTTATCAGTTTTCCCGCTAAAACTTTTCCCCTCTCGTACGCGAGGCCCAGACGTGCGTGAGGGATGGTGCCGCGATTCTGGGGTCGCACTTGGCCGGGCTACCCATTAGCAAAATCTCGGCTCTGGAACTTGCTTGGTTGCCGAAATTCCCGGACAGACGAACACACACACACATACAGACATAAATACATACACATACACACATACATACACACACAGACGGGGTCGTCTCAATATGCGTTTTTGCAACTTGCATATAGACAAAAATGCATAAAAATCCAAGTATGCAAATGAACTGAATGTTCATTATTTACATATTTGGATGAGGGGCGGTCGTTCTCTGCAAAACGCACTCGTTTCTGACTTTTCAGTAAACTTCAGTATTTCCCGTGAACATCTGCAGGGAATTTCACTTCCAAGCAGATTTAAGACTGCACTTGAAAGCAGAATATCTCAGCGAAGTTTCAGCCTTGTACCTTATCCGGTAAGCGAAATAGCCACTTCGCTGCAAAATTTCTTTGAAATGGCCTAAGTCGTGGCGCAAGTGCAATTCGCCAATTATTTAAGGCATACGATTTCCCATATGCGCGATAAAAATTTTGAAAAAATTTCACTCATTTTTTTCCGGCAAAGTTAGCACAGTACAAAGTTAAACTTTGACTTGATCGTACGCGCTGCATCAGCATGCGCGGCAGCTGAATTTGAAATTTTTAGTTCATGCACAGATAAAATTCCAGCAAAGTTTCAGCTTTGTACCTTGCCTAGTTCGTGAAGTTGTTTCCAGCCAAAGAAATCTGCATATTTTTTTCGGGACTCCGTACGTTGGGTTTTAGCGCTTATGAGCGAAAATTTTGAAACGGGAGGATGAAACACAGGGTAAAAACATGTCCAAAATTTCAGCCTCCCAGCTTTTCTGGTTGCTGAGATGAAAGTGGGTGACAAAGTTCACTCAGACAGACGACCTCTCCACAGTATGCGTTTTTGCTGACTGTAGCAGCGCTATAGTAAAAACTCAAAAAAAAAACGAAAAATATGGGAATCTATTGAAATTCATAGCAACCTGAACATAGTATCAGCAAGCGCGTATATATGAGGCGCGTTTTCATACTGTGCTGCTCCTTGATAGAGCTCCATTTCCTTGTCGGAAAAGTAAGGCATCTCTTTAAATGGATTTACCGCAATAAGCACTGGTCCAATGTATGTCTGAAATTTTAGCACATTTTAAGTAGGAATCCCTGTTGTGATAATTGTGCAAAATCTAATTCGAGCTTTATTTAAGCGGCGTCTGCAAGATGCAGACTATGGATTAACTCAAAACACTTCCAGGCACTAGTTTGTTTGAAAGCTGTGTACTTTGCTTGATCCTGCTTGAAATTTAGATGCAGGCACATCATCCATTTTTATGCATGCTCGAACATTATGCAAATGCGAAAACACAGTGTGCGTGTTAGAAGCACGTGAACTTTTTCTTTCACTTTCAAGTTAGCAACCAGGAAGACTGGGCTGAAATTTCCCATCCCATGTGTCACCTTATCCTTTTATATTATCAGTCATGCACGCCTATGGACCCTTGAAAAAATATTTGAATTTTTCGGCGGGAAAATGGCTTCGAGAACCAGATAAGCTAGCTGAAAATTTACGCTAGTGTTTACTCTCCATTTGTAAACTAAAAACTTCAAAGTCAGCAATCGTGCATGGTTGCACTGCGTGTACGGTCATGTCGAAATTCACTGTTGGCACAGTGCCACTTCGAAAACTAGCAGATTAAAGCAACAGTTGAAATTATGCCTGAATATTTATTGCCCATCCAGAAAATCGTATACCTAAGTGGAGTTTCGAATTGCACATGCCCACGCCTTACGACACATCAAAGATATTTATACTGAAGTAGCGATTTCGCTTATCGAACAAACTGCGAAGCTGAAACTGCAGGGATATATCTATATTCGCTAGTCTGGGGGAGGAATCCATTGCACGCGAACGTGAAAA